AAGCCAAGTCAGAATTACAAGGAATTTAACTGTGTGGACTTCAGGAAAAATTAGATGATGCAATTTGCAGAAACTTGTTTGGAATTGAAGTGTATGTATCATGCTGAGTAAAATAAGACAGTGAGAGAAAAACAAATCCAGGATTATCTTAGTCATCTGTGGCATAGAGAGAAATAAATCAAAGCTATGCACAATATCAATTGATAATAAACCTTGGGCACTGTAATAGAGATATGAGAATGCCACATCGGGGGTGAGGTGAGGCAGGGGAACAATTATGTTGGCTGGAAGTAACTTGCGAACTTAGGTGGAGGGTCTAGAACACACAGGCAGTGACTAAGGGAAGTAATAGTGTTCACCCAAAACACAACTGTCAACCAACAAACAAGAGGGGGGATTGGGAAACAGAAGGAAAGAAGGTTGGACACTACGGGCATTACAGCAGCAGTGGTGGGCTTTAACTTTGTACATCCACAACATACACACTATGGCAACCCTGTACATAACTATAAAAAATTCATTCCAGATTTAATTACTATTAATTATTGCATTTAGTGACAACTAACAGTCAAGGAGATTGATAATATCCAGTCCCTTCCCTAGTATCAACCCCATGTGTTTCAGTGAAGAGCTAATTTTAAAATGGGCCAAAGATACAAACATTTAGGAAGAATTTCCAGTTTTTCAAATCTACTATTGCTTGTATGTGGAAAAAAGCAGAGCTCCACAGAGTGTTTCTATATGCTGGAAAAAATTAATTTTCAGAGTGTCTCGCCCACACGGCAAAGCCTGGCAAGCACCCCATAATGTATTTGCTATGCCAACCACAGTAACAAGTCTCAAAATGGAGACATTACTGGTCCCGCTTGAGAAAATCGATGAACAACGGGAGGATGGTGGGGTGCAGTGCTAACTTTTTAAAATTGAATCATTGTGAGATATACCCTTACAAAGGTGTTCATGATTGGATTTCAATCATACAGTATTCCAGCACCCATCCCTCCACCAGTGTACATTTCCCAGCACCAGTGTCCCTAGGTTTCCTCCTATCACCTGCCCTTACCCTCTGCCTGCCTCTATGGCAGGTTCTTTTCTTCTCTCTCTCTCTCTCTCTCTCTCTCTCTCTCTCTCTCTCTCTCCCCTCTCTCTCTCTTCTCTCTCTTCTCTCTCTACCTCTCTCCTAAGAAATTAATTTTAAACATCTGCAAATGAATTAAGAATAATGAAATATAAATACTTTCAGTAAGTAAATTCAGTAAAACTAAGTACAAATATTTGCAAAAGGATTCAGATCAATCTGGAAAACATGTAGGAGAGTTCCAAGTAATCTCTATTTTTATGATACAGAAAAATAATAAAAGTAATCTCTATTTTTATGATACAGAAAAATAATAAAGTCAGTTAATTCTACTTCTAACCAGCTTGGCATAAGAAAACTGTACACTTCAATATAATTCTTGAAAGTATCTGATGAGTAATAACTCATATATAAATACCATAGAATTATAGATATTAGAAAACAATTCACTCATTGGTGAAATAAAAATTTTGGGTCAGAGTTTCTATTGCAGTATTTAAACACCAGTGATATTGTCCAAGTTAAGATGAATTAAGTTTTTAAGCGTAAGGTAACAAGACACCTTTCTAGATGATTTTGAGAGAGAAGTGTGGGTCATACAGATAGTAAGGAGTGATCTCTAAAATAAGTGGTTCTCCAACTGTGGTCCCAGAAAAAAAGCATCGGCATCAAGAGAAAACTTCTGAATGTTAAAAATGCGGCATCTCAGGTTCTATCAATGACCTTCTAAGTCAACAATTCTGTGTGATGTTTCTGTGTTTTGTCATACCATCCTACTAACTCTTTCTAATGCATGTTCAACCGTGAGACTCACTGTACTTAGAACGGGTCTTTCAAAAATAAAAAAAAAAAGTTTGCAATTCACTGTGATTTAATATAATTTTTAAAAATAAAAAACTAAAATCCTAGAAAATTCATTTCTTAACTGTTTATTTTGGGGCCACACCTGGCAGTGCTCAAGAACTACTTCTCCTTGGGGCTGGAACAATAGCACAGCGGGTAGGGTGTTTGCCTTGCATGCGGCCAACCCGGGTTCGATTCCCAGCATCCCATATGGTCCCCTGAACACCGCCAGGGGTAATTCCTGAGTGCAGAGCCAGGAGTAGTAACCCCTGTGCATCTCCAGGTGTGACCCAAAAAGCCAAAAAAAAAAAAGAACTACTCCTCCTTTAGTGCTCAGGGGATCACTTCAGTTGGTGCTGGGGAAGGGAACCAGAAGGGGCCAGGGATCAAACCCAGGCCTGCTAGCCCTTCTGAAATTTCAAGGATCTCTACAATTTTCAATGTCCTTAGGGTTTTTCTTTTGTTTGTTCTTTGCCCTCAAGGCAGGCCTCTCAAGTAGTAAGCATTTCTGGGAAGACTTGGAAACTTTTTAACTGGTCCCTTTGTTCCCAAGCTCCCCGAGGGGATCATTCTAGCTTGATTTGTTCAACCCAGTCCAATAATTTCTCCCTGAGGCTGTCTCCTCTTCCCCAGGGTCAGGCCCATGAGGAGTGAGTGGGAGGTCTGGGCCAGGAACCACAGGCTGGGAAGCTGTAGGCAGAGGACTCCAGAAAGATCCCAGACTTGGCACTGACCTGCCCTTCAGGCTGACTGCAGGTGAGATGGTGTTTCCTCACCTCTGAGGTCAGCTCTAGTGAGGTTGGAAACACCTGCTAGAGGGACAGCGCAGAATCAAGTGCCAGAGTTGGTGGTGGCTCTGAAGTGTAAGCAGAGCCTTGGGAAGTAAGTAGGGGCACGGTGCTTTTGAAATCAGTTTCTTTAGGTTGCATGTGAAGCACAGTTAGATCAAACATAGGGCTGGCCTCGTGGTACTGAGAGTAATGGATAAACAAAACCAATCAAAAATAGTGAAGGCTGCATAACGAATTACCTTCTTCATTCATTAATTTGGCAGCATTTACTGACCAGGTTCTATGTCAGCTTGGCTCTTTTTAGTTCTAGGGTTAAAACAAAACAAACCTGAACTTAAAATGGAGATGGTTGAAGGTAGACTAGATGAACAGTATAATATGATTAAGCCAGAAGTTTGGTTAGGTTTGGTTTTAGCACCTAGGGGTGCTCAAGATTTGCCCCTGGCTCTGTGCTCAGCAGTCAGTCCTGGTGGTGTGCAGAGAAGCGATCTGTAGTGCTGGGGGAGATAAGGGTCAGAGGTAACTTCATATTAACATAATCTATCATTACTTTTTTCCCAGAATTTCTTGTTTCTAAAGAGAATGAGGAACTGAGTGACAATTCCAAGCTTCAAACTCTGGGTTGGTTCATTGGGTGATAGTCCTCATCTCAGAGCCTGAAAGAAACAACCCCAAGGCAACTAGTTAGAACAAAAGACAATCCTGTCACCTAGAAAATGATGAGGGTGCTAGGGATCTGAGTCAAGAACTAGGGCAACAACCAAATGTTAGAACAAAAGAACATCATCATGTTCTTATTGTGAAAATCCAAGAATGTTAGGAGCTCAGAGATAGAAATGGGATAAATATCAAATATATATATATATATTTCTTATCATAAGTCACAGTATCTCAGTGACATAGAAGACTGAGGTGATAAGAGATCAGAATCTTAGTAAATGAAGAAATAGGTGGCGTGTTTTGTAAACTATAATGCTTTCGGAAATTCATAGTTTGTAAGAGCCCGAAGGAGATTCTGTTTTACAGACTTGTGTGATATATCTTGGGCTTTGAGGCAAACATGTAGATATTAATTTTTACCCTGATTTGATTCACAAAGTACTGTAGGTGTTTCTACAGTAGGAGCACTAGTGAGCATTAATACAGACGTAAGTGAGAGAGGCATGGATCAGATGGGAGCTGTGGAAGGTCTCAGGGTGAGCTGTGTCACAGGTGGACTGGCGTAGTAGCCAATGGGAGTGAAAGACAAAAAAAACATATCTCAGACCACGGATTTCAATAGGCAGGTGAGAGGGGATGGGAGCCTGGGACTGGGCAGGGGAAGGGGAGGCCACTTGCCTCCACCCTGTCACCCTCTATCCCCTCACCTTTGTCTTCGTTCCCTTCCCTGGCTTCTCCCATCTTATCATTTCCCACTCTTTCCTTGCAAGTTACCTAAAATCATTTCTTTATTTCATTTACTTTCTCCTCTTTTCATTTTCTTTCTTTTCTTTTTCTTTTTTTTTTCAACATTTTTCTTTCTTTTCTACCCAGGAACTTGATATCATTGTCCTCTAGAGGACTCTAAATCATCTCCAGACAATATATTTTTCATCCATGAAATTCCCTTATCCTGCTTTCTTTGGCCTCCACATATGCTCTGGAGAGCCTCTCCTATGAAACAACAATTTCGGTGGTGGAGGGAGGAGATATTTAATGCTCCAGGTATCCAGCTGAGACTCCTCTGCATGTACCTAAACACCTGATAGCTATTCATCACCCAGTGAATAAAAGGAACTTCTTATGTACTGACTCTGAGCATTGATAAACACTGCCATGTATTAGTCTGGCACTGTTGTAGGAATTGTATGTGCTATTCTTATTAAACAATCAGAAATTTCACACAGAAATATTTTTATTCACACATACAGATGTGTACACTGAGACTTGGAGATACTAAATAATTTACTCAAGGCCAGATATCAAGGAAATAGAAGATCTGAAATTTGACTCTGGTTCTGTAGGACCCCAAGGGTTTCCCCATCAGCACAGTGCATTGCACGGAGTCTTAAAGGTTGCACATGTCTCTGAGTGACTTTCAGATTTCCCATAACTGTAAATCCCTGCTCTAAGAGGGACACTGTCCAGAGAGAAGTTCATAGCTGGTGCTATGGTTCCCCATGAGGAGGCCCCTCAGATGGGTCTGGGCCATGTAGTTCTGGACCATATGTCTGTCTAACAGGACACTTTGGTGACTTCATGCATCTATGTCTGTGGATTGTTCTCTATAGGTGTATGGGGAGAACACCATGGACCAAGGGAACCTCACGTGGATTTCAGAATTCGTCTTCCTGGGACTCTCACAGACTCCAGAGATGCAGCTTTTCCTGTTTCTGGTGTTCCTGTCTGTTTACACAACTACTGTGGTGGGAAACATCCTCATCATGGTGGCAGTGACCTCAGACTCCCGGCTCCACACACCCATGTACTTCCTGCTCCGAAACCTGGCTGTTATAGACCTCTGTTTCTCCTCTGTCACGGCCCCAAAGATGTTGGTGGACTTCCTATCTGAGAAGAAGACCATCTCCTACCAGGGCTGCATGACCCAGATTTTCTTCTTCCACTTTCTGGGGGGTTCCATGGTCTTCTTCCTCTCAGTGATGGCCTATGACCGCCTGGTGGCCATCTCTCGGCCCCTGCACTATGTCACCATCATGAACACTCAGCTTTGTATGGGGCTGGTGCTGGCTGGCTGGGTGGGAGGTTTTGTTCATTCCATAACCCAGTTGGCTCTGTTGCTCCCTCTGCCTTTCTGTGGCCCCAACACCCTGGATAACTTCTACTGTGATGTGCCTCAAGTGCTGAGACTTGCCTGCACAGACACTTCTGTCTTGGAGTTCCTTATCATTTCCAACAGTGGGATGCTGGATGTCATCTGGTTCATTCTTCTCCTGATTTCCTACTCGGTCATTCTAGTGTTGCTGAGGTCCCACTCAGAGCAGGCGAGAAAGAAGGCAGCTTCGACGTGTACCTCCCACATCATTGTGGTGTCTATGATCTTCATTCCAAGTATTTACCTTTATGCCCGGCCTTTTACCCCTTTTGCCATGGACAAAGCTGTGTCTATCAGTCATACAGTCATGACCCCCATGCTCAATCCCATGATCTATACCCTGAGGAACCAGGAGATGCAGGCAGCAGTGAAGAGGTTAGGGAGGCGTTGTTTGGTTCGTAAGAGGGAGTGACAAGGGGAATGACTTTTCATTAGCTTTGATGTTTATTTGGAGCATGGAGAGGAGGAGGGAGGACAGAGAGCAAGAAAGAGAGAGAGAGAGAGAGAGAGAGAGCAAGAGAAAGAGGGAGTTCATGTATAGGCTCTTCCTCTGTGGATTTGTTTTGGGGCAAATCATGCGGAACCAATAAATTTTAAAACTAAGCAATTTACTCTGATTTTTAAGGAAAAGGCTAGTGTTCTACTTGATGGGCAATATAACACTAAATGTCTTGCAATAATAAGTGTTCGAATTGGTCTTTAAAAGTTACAAATATTCACCGCTCACGAGCTATTGTCTTGTGGCAAGAACATTACCCCAGAAAGAGCAGTTTTGTTGCAAGTTTTGGTTCATCTTCTAAGAACCTTTTTTCATCTTGATTCAAAGAGGAAAAGCACAGGACTTGTAATTTAGCCTTAAATTGTGAGCCTTTGTTTGACCCATTACTAATCATCCTGGAAACCTTGTAGGAGTCTTGGACTTATTTTCTTCCTCCCCCAACTGGCAATATCTCCATCATCTTATATATTTGTTACAAGATTCAAAATGTTTATCTTACTCCTAGAACCTATATAAGAATGACTCTTATTTATATTATTATCCCTGAAAATTTTCTTTCATTAGAGTTGAGTTGTGCTTTGTAATTAAGGCAGACTGCCTGTCTTGACTCTTATTCTATCAATGAATCCACCTCCTGTTGATAGAGGTATAAAAGAAAGTGGGGGCTGGACTCCAGAAGTTCCACACAGTTCCACAAAGGAGAAACGGATAACAGCATGAGCAAAAATCCGAGGCCAGATCTGCTCTGACTCCTTCTCACTGGTATGTCCCACCCCCACTTCTAGACCCGCCATTCGCCACCCCAACTTCTTCCAGGAATGTGAAAATACTTTTATTTGCTCATTTACCTTTGTGAAAATGTATTTGGAGATTTAATGTCATTCTTTCTCTATAGAAAATGGAGAAATGTATAATGGTATTTTTGGCTCTCTCTCTCTCTCTTTCTTTTTGCCCCATATCTCTTTATGTCCCCACTCTTACATCTTTTCCACTCTCCCTTTCTACATTGACTCTTTTTTGTTGTTGTTGTCTTTTTGGGTCACACCCAGAGATGCACCAGGGTTATTCCTGGCTCATGCACTCAGAAATTACTCCTGGAGGTGCTCTTGGGACCTTATGGGATGCTGGAAATTGAACCCGGGTCAGCCACATGCAAAGCAAATGCCCTACCCGCTGTGCTATCACCCAGACACAATTTCTACATTGACTTCTGCCAGTTCAGTCATTACATGCTTGTGGGTTTTCTCTTTTTCACTTTTGTTTTTAATCCAATTCACTGCTGTGCCTTGCTTCCTCTTTGCCTGTGTCTTTTGGATGCTAACTCATCAGATATTTCTTCTACTAGTAAAATTGGATTGAGGGTCATGTTTTCATGCAGTGTTGAAAAAATTGATCATGGTTAGAAATTACAAGGGACTGTGATCTCATTCAAAAGAGAGGGATTGTTTTAAGACTATAAGGATCTCCATGAAGGAAAGTGGACTTGGGTATTGTTGGAAGAAGAGTCAAATGGACATATCTGCTCTCACCTCCTCCCTTCATCTCCACCATCTGTGCTATCATCTGGACAGGAACCAGATGAAGTCTCAGTCCCCTAACCCGACCTTTCCATCCTACCCTCCACAATAAACTATGTCAATCTTTGAGAGTTTGAATCCCTCTGTGCAATTGCAGTAAAACAACTGGCTAAGGATCGGCTGTATGGCTTGTATTTGTCGTGTGACATAAGCATGGTGATCCACACCCATCCTTTCAGCAGGGAAGTACATGTGGGTGGAAAGATTCACCCCAAATATACCTGTCTTGAAAGGAAAAGAGAAAGATCCCTCGTACATAGCACTGTCAGTGGAATGTCTTATTTTTTTTTTTTGTCTAGATATTCATGGTTTTATTCACTTAGTAAGTATTGTCTGCTGGCAATTTGCTATTTCTTCCCTGTTTGGACTCTCTAATTCTAGATTCCTTGAGAAACTCACTTTATCTTGGCTAAGCCAAGTAAGCATGAAGATGAAGATTTCCTAGAGGACACACACAGTAGTGGTTGCAGCTGGTCTGCAGGAGACGTGAGCAGTTTCTGAGGCAGGGGTGATGACCAGAGACCTGAGCGCAGGAGAGCAGAAGCATCACTGGCCTGCCTGGATGTTTTGTATAGATCCATCTCCTGTGCTCATGGATGCAAGGGCTTGTGGGACACGGCAGAGGGCTCTGTGCCTGCCAGAAAGGGGGTAGCATCTTTTTATGGAAAACTTAAAAACCATAATAAAACTGAAAATATTTTATTGTTTTGGGAGTATCCCAAGAATTGCTGAGGAAGTTTAGGGTCTCACCTAGTAATACTTGGTGAACCGGGTGCAACTATTCAAAGTTAGGTCAGGAGACACAGTGCTGTTCAGATTCAGAGACACTGGATTTTACCAGGACCATCCAGGAAGTGCTTAGGGAACTCCAGATTTGTACCCAGCAGTTTCTGGGCGGTCATGTAGTGTCATGGTTTAAACTTGGGTCCATATGCACAGTAGAAATGTGTTCTCTGACCCAAACTATCTCCTTAGCCCCTAAAGGCACACACACACACACACACACACACACACACACACACACAGGAAATCTGGAAATCACTAAACAATGCCAGAAATAAAGTGTTATTTCCTGCCAAGAGTTTGTCCTCATTGTCCTGTTTATCATAAACCTGCTATATATATGTGTGTTTGAGGAAGTGAGCAAGCAAGAGTGACAGGGAGAGAGAGAGGAACCTTGAGAAAGTGGGGTGTGGGATGATTATCATTGGAGATAGGAGATGGCCTGTAAGGGAGAAGGATGCTGTGCCTTGTGCTCTCTCTGATTCTGTAGAGTGTCAAGGCTGTGGAGTGACCTCTGAGTGACTTCTGAGAGAGGTGGAGGAGGTTGAGTTGCATCCCAGTCTTCCATACAGGGGAAGTACTCCAGGACCCCCTGAACAGTTCTCCTGAGAGCCAGGAGTGAGCTGGCAGGGAAGCCGGGGATTCAGGAGTCTCTGAATCTGAACAGCACTGTGTCCCCTTTCTTCATTCCACCACAAGATGGGGGATACTAGAAAGAGAAAGGAAGCAAAGTGAGAAGACAGACAAGTAACAGATGAACCAATGGATAGATGAGATGGATTCAAAGGATAAAGACTTTGAAGGAAACCAGAGGAATGTGACCTGGAGGCTGGGCAGCATTATGTGAGGTCGTCAGGGATTGTCTGAGCCAACATATGGATAATGAGAAGGAACTGTTTTGGCAAAGATCTAGGTGACAAGCAAGAATTCCAGACAGAAGCAAGAGCAAATGGAAAGGGCCTCAGGTAAGAATTAGTGGTGAGCATAGTATTTATTCAAAGGAAAGAGAAGAGAGATGAAAGTAACTGGAATGGGTGAAGAGGATCTTGCTAGGAGTTGAGGTCTAAGATGAATGTGAGTTGTCTATGACTGCAAAAATCATTCTGCCCGAAATGAGGAAAATGCAATCAGAAATGTCAGACCTGAAAAATCTCGTAGGCGAATTGAAAAGCTCAGTGGAAGGCCTCAGCAGCAGAGTAAGAGCGGCTGAGAACAGAATCAGTGAGCTCGAAGATGAAGTTCAGAGACTCTCCAGAAAAGAGCAGAAAATGGAAAAGAGACTCACAATTCGGGAACAGATGGCAAGAGAAGATCGTGATGAAGCCAAGAGGGGTAACATAAGAATTATTGGAGTCCCAGAGGGACAGGAAGAAAACCTCGATGAAGAAGAAACTGTCAAAGACATCATTGCTACAACATTTCCAGAGCTGAAGAAAACTTGTGACCACATTCAGGAGGCCCGAAGGGTACCAGCTAGAAGAAATCCGAATAAAAATACCCCAAGACACATTCTGATCAAAATGACCAAAACCTTAGACAGAGACAAAATTCTGAAAGCAGCAAGATCGAAGAAAGAAATCTCTTACAAAGGAGCATCCTTAAAATTCACAGCTGATTTTTCTGATGAAACCCTCATGGCCCGAAAACAGTGGTGGGACATAGTAAAAAAACTCAATGAAATAAATGCCTCCCCCAAAATACTTTTCCCAGCAAGACTCTCATTCATAATAGAAGGAACAACACACAGTTTCACAGACAAACAACAGCTCAGGAACTTCATAGACTCAAAACCATGGTTACAAGAACAACTAAATGGGCTACTTTAAGGCAAGAAAGGCCCCTCAAATACACCAAATTTTAACATAACAATGGGACAAAATCCCATAACAATAATCTCTCTCAATGTCAATGGGCTAAACGCACCAATTAAAAGACATAGAGTGGCAGGATGGATTAGAAAATTGAACCCAACATTCTGCTGCCTGCAAGAAACGCATCTCAATAGTCAAAGCAAACACAGACTCAGAGTCAAAGGCTGGAAAACAATCCTACAGGCAAACAGCTCCCATAAAAAAGCTGGGGTAGCCATCCTTATATCAGACCACATCGATTTCAGAGTGAGGAAGGTCATAAGAGACAGTGAAGGCCATTATTTATTGATCAGAGGATCTGTACAACAGGAAGAACTTACAATAATAAATGTATATGCACCTAATGAGAGACCAGCAAAGTACTTAAAACAACTACTCATAGATTTGGAAAAAGACATCAATAGCAACACAATACTAGTGGGAGACTTCAACACTGCTTTGTCACCTCTTGATAGATCAACCAGACTCAAGCTTAGCAAGGACATACTTCATTTGAGGGAAACAATGGAAGAAAGGGGCTTAGTAGATATATACAGGACACTTCATCCACAAAAAGCTGAATACACATTCTTCTCAAGCGTACATGGAACATTCTCCAAGATAGACCACATGCTGAGCCACAAAACATGCCTCCATAAAATTAAGAAGGTAGAGATTGTATCAACAATCTTCTCAGACCATA